AGTGTGCTCAGTATGAGGGAAAAGAATTGTTCTCTTTGGTGTGTTTTTAAAGTGACTCACATGTTCTCAGTTTTGAGTTTCTTCTCTTTGAGATTTAAGATTTTGCTTAGTTGTAAACCAATTCTCCAGAATATGCAATGTACACGTTTTTATACTTGTTACTGATCATATGGGCGCGGCCCATGTCCGCAGAATATTGTCTTATGTCCAAGTGGGTTAAGACCATATTTGTCTGCAGACCATATGGGCTGGACCATATGTAGCCCGCAAAACCATTTGTCTTGTCACAAGAACCAGATGCATCTAAAGACTTTTCAGAGAATTAGTGTCAAAAAGTTTAGAGCTTTGGTTGTTACATCTATAAGACTCTATTGCTAATCTATTTTTTTTGTGTTATTGATGTGTTTAAGCTTGTTCTGGTGTAGATTAGAATGGAACAAGATGCAGAGAGAAGCACCAGCACCACCACTATTGTTGAGTCAACCCCTGAAGGGCCGGGATTAGATCCGATAGCACGAGTGAGGAAGCTCTTGTTCCGCCAAATGCTCGTTGGAATCAAAGACGGGAGATTCTTCCTTGGCAATTTCCATTGCATTGACAAACAAGGAAACATAATTCTCCAAGACACGGTTGAGTATCGCAGCATAAGAAGATCGTCTCCTTCGCCTACCGAACAACGTTGTCTCGGTATGATCTTAATCCCTTCCTCTTGTAGGACGTCTTGCCATGTCGATTGCTCTATCGAGGAACAGCTTTCACTAGTTCAGCTGAAAGAGTAAGAGCCTCTTTTAAGACTTTCATGAGATAATCTCTCTCTAATTTCATCAGTGTGTAACCTATCATGGATTTGTTCTCTTCCTTATGCGCAAAATCAAAACTTTATTGCATGTCCTTGTATTGTATGATAAATGATTCACATAATTTTGTGAAGAAAAATGTATACATTGGAAACCCTTTTGGAGTTTTATTGTATTTACATTTAGAAGAGAGAAGTGTGAAACTTTTCACATTGTATTAT